GGGGGCAGGAGAAAGTGGTGGTAGATTTAGGCAATAAATTTTCATTAGTTATCAAAACGGATTTCTTGAGAGTACTGGCTACTCCAAACCTGCTTATACTCATTTGCCCTCAGAACTGGTAATCCTGAATATTTAAGCGGATAAGATGTTTTACTTTATCATTCTCTAACTTTATTAGTGTTTTAAACTTGATTGCTAAAGAAATGAAGTGTTTTCCTCTTGTCCACGTTAATGGAATGGACAACTATAGATTTATTCTTTTTTATATTACATATATTATGCATGAAGTATAGATTCAACAAAAGGGTAAAAAAAGACAGCCCTCCTGCATGAATGACTAATGTCTCGCACCCTGCAATGAGGAGTGTGACAGTTCAGTTTAGAACCTTGAGGTTCAAAAGAAAGAAAAAAAGTTGAAAAAGAAGATGAATGTGAGGAAAGAAAAATGGAAGAAAGGCAAAGGAAAGCACATGGACGAACTGTAAAAAACGAAAAATCACAGTATGGGCGCAGTTGCAGGAACTTTTCTGTGGTGTCTGTAATTCATATACTTTTCTGTATGTTTAAGAATGTCAGCTTTGGTCTACTGGAAATTTCAGGGACTTTAGAGTACTGAGCTAGAATCTTCTTTTCTGCAACTTTAATTCTCTCAGTTTAAGAATTTTTCTCTGTGAAACAGAGAAAAGTACATCTTAGTCATTGAGCTAACGTGTGCCAGACTCAGAGCATGCGTGTGTGTGTGGTGTGTGTATACACATATATACATACATTTCCTTCTATTGCCTAGTCAGAAAAAAATTTCGTTTAAAAACTACATTACCCAAAATTCAGATACTTGATTTTACTACTAAAATAGTGTCTTTATAAAAATCATGCCTTTACTTTTTATTTAGTAATAAACTCTTTGATAAACTATTAAGAATTTTTAAGATTACCATGTGCTAAAAGTTTGATCCAACAAAATAGATATATTACTTACCTATGAATCCAAGAATTGAAAACTCAATGTAAAACCACTTATGTGATGTCATATTATGTACAAAATTCCTTATTTTTGTAAGGTACATCTCTTTAGCTATAATATCATCTTCCAGCTGGAAAAAAAACAA